TACTGGTTTAAGTTCCAACTAAATTGGCTTTGCTATATTCCTCAGTGGGAGAATAGATAATATTCACCAAACAGCTCTTCAGAAAAGTTCAAAACAAACATATTTGTAAGAACATCTTTATCATCACTAGTAGACAATGAAAAATACACCACTGTGTTGTCAGGGGAAAGACATTCTACCTCTGCCCATGAGAAGCTTAAACACAACCTTGGAGGAAACACCACCCTCAAAAAGATTAACAGGTTGTCTTTCTCAAATGCTAGGCGCCAAGCGCTCTACCACTGAGTCACAACCCCAGCCCGAGGGAAGGTTTTCTTAGTTGTTCTTAGTGTAAAGGGCTAAGAAAGCAGCAGGTGGAACTTGAAAGAAGGCTAGGCTTGCCAGATGATCCCCACACCTCATGGCCTTTCAGCAACACAAATGATAATCAAAGGATTAAAATCTCTCCTCATTTGCAAACAAAACCTAACTTCTACCTAAACAGGTAGTATTTTAATTGGTATTATTGACAAGCCTTGTTTCCAATGCAGGAAATAATTTAAGTTAAGCTAGCTAACCCTAAGTCATTGGGTCACACAGACATCAGCAAGGTTCCACAGCAATGTCAGGAAAGGAGAAAGCATAGCATTTCGAGAAAGGTAATTATCTTTTAGAACTGATGACTGTTTTATCCTTTAAAAATTCTTCACAGGAGAAAAAACCAAAATCCCACAAATTTTATAATCGGATGAACAGTAAATTGACCTGGGGAAGCCATGTTTTGATAAAGCAGGTAAGAGTGGGTAAAGTTCCCTTAAGGTAGGCCAAGCTCACCTTCCCGCTGAGTTGTCCATATCTTGCCAACTGTATAAGATAATTTTCTACTGCTTTAGTTTTTTCAGGCTTTACAAGGGCTAAATTACTTACTGTAAAGAAAAAACATACAAAAAGACATCAAAACTAAATGTACTCATATTTATATTACACCTTAAAACTACGCATTGACGTTTCCAAAGCAGTTCACAAGCGTGTATTGTCTCCAAATCAGAGAAGTAGGTAGGGCACACAATGGCTACTCCTTTTAAAGCCAGAGTTCACCCATGTCAATCACAGTTGTACAGCCAAGATTACACTTGGGTTCTCAGATATTAAGCCCCATACTGTCTTGTTTCTTAAAATGACTGCCTTCTGAAAAGTAATTTATTTATTACTATGCATATAAAATGGTGGTGATCATCTACAGCTATCTGTCCTTTCTGAACTCAAATTGAGCTTACATTTACAACACAGAAGATACAGAAGATAGTTCCTTCTGATTGGCTAATTTTTTTCTATGTATTTTTTTTTTGTTTTATTATAAAAAACTGCATGTACAATAAAACCAAGACTATCACCAATTCTTAACTCCCCATCACCCATGTCAAACAGGCAACAATTTGATTGTTTCTACTTTAGAGTTGTTTTCTACCAATTTTACTGAAAAGACACTTGGAAAAGATTTTCTTGCTAAGAAGAGAAGTGAGCTGGCAGTTTTAACAATTCAATAATTCAAGGAAATTTTCTCTAGGTTTATAAATTTCACACTTCTTACAAATTAATGTTATCTCAAGTATTTTTAGGTAAAACAAACATTTACTCTAGAGAGCAGTAACTGCATATGTATCTCCCCAATCAAGCCAATTTTATGGAAATATCTTAAAGGAAATGGAAGATGCTTACACCTGGCCCGGGCTGACTGATCCAGAACTTGGGCCAAGATACTGTTTCTCATTTCTGCTTCCCTACAATAAAAACATAGGTCAAGCAAAATTAGAACTAGGCTGTCAGCATAGCTACAGAACATACATAAAAAGTAATAAGATGTTTCTTACGATAGACACCTGTGATACACAGACTGTGCTGTGGTGTTTCTGCCTTCAAATAGCCAGCTTTGTTATATGGTTGTAACCCTACCATGTTTTCAGGAAACTTAAATATTTTCATAATTAGAGAGAAGTTTCAGTTCAACCACGTTTACCAAAATTTTAAGTACCTATTGTGTGACAGGTGCTTGAAACTTAGTGGGATTTCAAGCAATGAGAATCACCAATTAATTGATTAATCTGTGCCGTTTCCAGGGACAGGAAGGACATATTAGAGATAAGCTCAGGCCCAGGGAGGACATATTAGAGAGACACAGGTAACCATGGCCGAGCTAAAACCAAATACAGTTGCTCAGGGATCTCAGTTCTATTTTTGAGTGGAGAAGGGTAGTAAGATTATAACTCTGCAACTATTCTTGCTTCTTTTTATATACTCAAAGAGGAACTAGTTCATATTCATAGGGCAATGGTTTCAAACTTTAATGTAGTAAATTAATTTTTTTTTTTTTCCTCAAGTGAAGCCCTTCAGGGAACCTGAAGGGTGTACTCTGGCTGCATTAGAGAGCTGGGGCTTGTTATGCCCACTATTCATTTCAACCTAGGAGCCCTAGAGATTAAGGAATACAGTTTAAAGATTACTTCCCTAGGCCTTACAATTCCTGAGTACTTAAAATCTGCTATTAAGTAATAGTATTATATTTCACTCAATCTAAAATGTCACCCATTGTAAGATGCACCATAGTTTTATGTATTTTTAAGAGTTTTTTTTAAAAAAAGGTACTCTAGTTTATGGGTCTCTTAAGAGACCCCCACTCAAAGCTGGTGTCAAAAAGCAACATGCGTGGGCTGGGGTTGTAGCTCAGTAGCTCAGTGGTAGAGCACTTGCCTAGCATGTGTGAAGCGCTGAGTTCAATCCTCAGCCCCGCATGTAAATAAACAAAGGTCCATCAATAAGTAATAAAAATATTGAGGAAATAAAAGCAATATGCTCTCTAAAAGATAAACAAGAAATAAGCCTGCCATGCAACAGCAAGGAATTCTTCATGTATCTGACCCAAACTGGAGGAAGGAAAAAATAAAAGTTCCTCTGAAAATTTGAACTGCAAGCTTTAGTTTTATAGGGTTTCTGTCTGACTTCACACTATGAGGCAAGAGGGAGAAGAGAACCTCAAACAAAATTTTTAAAAGATTTCAGATTTCAAATGAACCCAAGAAATGGCAGAAGTAAAAGTAAATACTCTGTGGAAGAATCCAGGATAAGAGCAATCAATTATAATGCATTCCAATTTCAAATGTTAAAATGTGAAAAAATGTACTTCTCAGAACCAACAAAATTTGAATAGTTTTACTTCCTTCATATCACTCAGTGTTTATCATCTGCCTTTTTCTAAACCCTCACTTTCTTGCCTACCTCTAAAAACCCAATACAGTGCCTGACCCAAAGCAAATGACAAAGGGAGTTTAAAAGGTAGCATGAGGACAGGGGGGAAGAAATCAGGAGTTGTTCAACTGATTAAAGTTATATGAGATGAAAAACTTCTAGAGCTATTGTACAACAATGTGAATACAGTGACCACTACTGAATAGTATACTTAAAAACAAGAATAGCTGCAATAGTAAATTTTATTACTTTTTTTTTTACCCCAAAAGAAAAAAATAGGCAGTATGATGGGGCAATCAAATATTCATTTGATTAACTTGGCCGATGAGGTGCTCTGCCTTCTGCTGGTATAAAAATGAGACTAGTATAATGGGTGATATTTATTTTTATTATTTTTTTAAACAGATGATATTTATTGAAGTGTTCAACTGTCACAACACACGAATGAAGTAGTTCTATTATGCTGTGTTAAGGCAGTCACAGTTTAGCAGATAAACAGTAATTGCAATACTAGGTATTAAATGTGTATTTAACAAATAATAAAGATTCCTCGATGACAATTCATGGCAAAAATCACTCGGCCAGGACAAGATTCAAAGCTTATACACCTGTAAACATTTCGGGGTGGGGTGGGGGTTTGGTTCATTTGGTGAAACCACCTCTCAAGAAGTTCAGATGTCCAGCCCATCATACCTGTGTTTTGCTTCTTGTTGTGCTGCATCGCTAGGATCCTGAAAAAAAAAATAATAATTTTTCATTGAGTATAATTTCACAAAGGGGTAAAAACAGAACCCATTCTGCTTTCTTTCTGATACATACTAGAGACAGCTTTTCTAATAACTAAAACCTGGGCTCAGAGAAGTCAGCGAGATAGTCTCCATGAACTTCTGAAGTCACAACTCATAGAACGTTTGAGAACACAGACAACCCCAGTTTCCTACACTACGCTTCCTAAAACGTGCCTCCGAATTAGGGGCACTGATGATGCCAACCACCTCGCTCCATCCCTAACCCGCTCCTCCCCGGCTTCACGCTACAGGCAGGCGCTCCTCCAGCCCCGGCTCCCGGAGATGACCAGTCGGCTGTCCCGCTCCGTCGGGGCTGGAGTTCGCCGGTCCCCGCGCCTGAAACACAGCGGGCCCTCAACGGAATGCGGGGTACAACTCAATTCTAGAAAAACTGGGTTCCGATCGGCGGGCACGGCAGTGGACGGTGGCCAGCCCCGAAAGCCGAGGCTGAGGGAGGGGCGAGGCTAAGGTTTTCCCCCGGGCGAACCTCCGGCCCAGCGAACCCCCTCTGGGGCTGCCAGACCCCCATCCAGAACCACCGCGCACGTGCTCGGCGCCCGCCCGGGACCCCGCGACTGGGAAGGGGCCTCGGCGGCCCCGGGGAAGGCTACGACCCCGCGGGGGCAGCGGAAAGGTCCCCGGCCCGGGAGGCTAACGCCCGAGCGCTCAGCCGGGGGCCGTGCGCTCCACCCCAGGCGAGGGCGGCGCCCGCACGCTCACCCCGTGCTTCGCCTGCAGCTCGGCCAGCCTCTGCTTCCTCAGCGTCTCCAGCTCCTCGTCCGCCATGCTGCGGCCGACGGGGGTCGAGCAGCCGCCGCGCTCTCGGGCCCACTCGGAGGGATCTCGAGCCCACTCAAAGGGATCTCCGCAGCCCCTGGGCGCGATCACGACGCTCACTACTGCGCAGGCGCCCTCAGCGCCCAGGCCTCACCAATCCAGCCCCGAGCACTCAGGGCGCCCGGGAGAGGCCCGATTCCCCGATCGCTGGCTGCTGGGCTTGGGCGGGTGGTCGGATAGCGGTATGGTGGGGAGGGACCCTAGACTGAAGCCCTCCGCGGAGCCTGGGGACCCAACCTCCCTGCCCGCATTCCACGGCTGTAAATGCGTGGATGTCGGCTGGGAAAAAACTGGACTGCGATTTGGAAAAAGAAACTAATCTAGATCTATGGCTTCAACAAGGAGAATAATTATAGGTGGAATTTGTTGGGGGACCTTTAAAATGCTAGGCTCATCGTATCACCATTTATAGACGAGGAACCAGGGGCTCAGAATGGCAAAGTGGAGTGATGGAAATGTATTGGAACTGCATTGTGGCGATGGCTGCACAGTTCTTAAATGTGCTTTAAAAAAAAAAAAAGTTGTACACTTAAAATGGCTTGGAGTGACAGTGGGAGGACAAAGTCGAAGACACTCGCGGAAGGCCCCCCGAGCCACTGGACAAATTAAACTTGGAGGCTGAGAAGCAAGTTGGAGATAGGGCAATGGGATGGGGGGTGGTGTCACCTCCCAGGCCCTCTCTCCGCTGGGAGGATGCTGGGACTGGCTTCCGTGGCCCAGTGAACTTTGGCGGTGTCTTTGGAATGAGGACTCCGGGAAGAGGGAGGATACTCAGTTCCCTAACCCGGTAACTCATGGAGGTAATCCGTGTTTGGAGTTTTAATTGTGGCAAAAGTATATAGAACATAAAGTTTATCGTTTTTTAAGACAACTTGTTTTTTTAACCTTTGTTTTATTTTTATGTGGTTCTAAGGACCAGTGCCACACACATGCTAGGCAAGTGCTCTACCACTGAGCTACAACCCCAGCCCTGCTTTCATCGTTTTTAAGTATACAGGTCAGTGGCATCAAATTAATTTACACTGTTGGGCAGCCGGCACCACCATCTCTAGAACTTTTTTTTTTTTTTTTTTTTGGTGGTGGTTGGGGGGAGTATCAAGATCGATCTCGGGGACACTCAACCACTGAGCCACATCCACAGCCCTACTTTGTATTTTATTTAGAGACAGGATCTCACTGAGTTGCTCAGGGCCTTGCTTTTGCTAAGGCTGGCTTTGAACTCGAGATCCTCCTGCCTCAGCCTCCTGAGCTGCTGGGATTACCCGCTCATCCCAAACTGAAACTCCACCAAATAACTATTTCCCCCTCCTCCGACCCCTGACAAACATCTTTCTACTTGTGGTCTCTGTGAATGTACCTATTTATACACTATTTGTCCTGTGACTGGCTTATTTCACCTAGTGTGATGTCTTCAGGCTTCATCCATGTTTCAGCACATATCAGAACTTCATTCTTTTTGAAGGCTGAATGTATTCCATCCTATGTATGTATACAATACATTTGGTTTAAAAAGTTCATCCATCAGTGGACCCTGGTTGCGCCCATCTTTTGGCTATTGTGAATAATGCTGCTGTGAACTTGGATGTACAAGTATCTGTACAATTATTTTGGGTAAACCTGATTCAGTGGTGGCAGGCCTTTAATCCCAGAGTATGGGAAGGCTGAAGCAGGAGGATCTCAAGTTTGAGGCCATCCTCAGCAACTTATTAAGTCCCTGTATCCAAATAGAAAATCAAAAGGGATGGGGATGTAGCACAGTTGAAGAGTGCCCTGAGTTCAATCCTTAATACCATTTAAAAAAAGGGAAAAAAAAATCTGGTACATATACAGAATTGGAGTTGCTGAACATGGTAAACCTATGTTCAAAATTTTGAGGAATTTTTCCATAAGGGAAACACTATTTTACCTTCTTATTAGCAATGCACCAAGTTCCAATTTCACCACCTTCTCACTTATTTTCTTTTGTTTTAAATAGCCATCCTAATAGGTCCGCGGAGGTTATGTTGTGATTTCAATTTGCCTTTCCCTAATGATTAGAGATATTGAGCATCTTTTCATGTGCATGTTAGCTATTTGAATATCTTCTGTAGAAAAATGTGTATTCAAGTCCTTTGCCCATTTAAAAATAGGGTTTCTTTTCTATTAAGTCATAAGAATTCTTTACATATACTGAATATCAAGCCTTATCAGATATATGATTTTCAAATATTTTATTCCATTTCATGGAATAAAATATTTTGTGTCTTTTAATGCACAAAATTTTAAATTTTCATTTAGTCCAAATTATCTATTTTTTCTTTAATTGCCTGTGCTTTTGATGTCATATCCAAGAAATAACTTTCAATTCTAATGTCATAAAGATTTTCTCCTATGTTTCCCTTTTCTTTTTCTTTTTTTTAATATTTATTTTTTAGTTTTCGGCAGATACAATATCTTTATTTGTATGTGGTGTTGAGGATTGGCCCAGCGCCGCGCACATTCCAGGCGATCATGCTACGGCTTGAGCCACATCTCCAGCTCTCCCTTTTCTTTTTTTTTAATATTTATTTTTTCATTGTAGTTAGACACAATATATTTTATTTATTTTTTTTAATGTGGGCTGAGGATCGAACCCAGGGCCTCGCACATGCTAGGCAAGCACTCTAACTGCTGAGCCACAACCCCAGACCCTTGTATGCTTTCTTGTATAGAATCTTTTGTTTAAGTCTTTGGTCCATTTTTGAGTTAATTTTTGTATGGTGTTGGGTACAGATCTACTTTTTTTTTTTTTGCATCTGGATAGTCAGTTTACCAGTACCTTTGTTTAAAAGGCTGCCCTTTCAGGCTAGGATTGCAGCTCAGCGGTAGAGCGCTTGCCTTGCTGGATTTGATCCTCAGCACCACATAAAAAATCATCCCTGAACAACTGGAAAAAAAAAAAAAAGGCTTCTCTTTCCTCATTGAATATTGTGGCATCCTTGTCAGAAATTATCTAAATGTATCTTTAACAGTTTATTTGTAGGCTATTTTATTTTTTGGTCTATGGTCATCTCAGTAACTAAAAGATGAAAGTAACCCAAGTGTCCATGCTGGTGCCACAGTGTTTTGATTACTATAGCTTTGTAGTAAGTTTTCAAATCAGGAAGTGTGAATCCTCCTACTTTTGTTATTTTTCAAGATTATTTTGTACTTCAGGTCTTTTGGGATTCCATATAAATTGTAGGATATATTTTTTTCTATTTTTGCAAAAAAAAAATAGGGAATTTGGGTAGAAATTGCATTAAATGTGTGTAATATTATTTTAACAATATTGTCTTCTAATCCATGAACATAGGATGTCTATTTAATGACTTTTTGAATTTCTTTCAGCAATGTTTTTTGATTTTAATTGTAAAAGTCTTTGACCTCATTGATTAATAATTCCTAAGTATTTTATTCTTTTGATGCTATTACAAATGGAGTTTGTAATAGCATCAAAAAAATTTTTCTTTTCAGATTGCATATTGTTGCAACTAATTTTTGTATGTTGACTTTGTATCTGATATTTTGATGGATGTTTTTAATGCTAACAGTTTTTTGGTGGACTCTTTAGAGTTTTCTACATATAAGATCATATCATCTCTGAACCTAGATAATTTTACTTCTTCCCTCCAATTGGGTAGTTCATTTCTTTTCTTGCCCTATTACTCTGGCTAGGATTTCAATTACTGTGCTGAATAGAAGTGGTGAAAGCCAGCATCCTTGCCTTATTCCTGATTTTAGAGGAAAAGCTTTCAGTCTTTCACCATTGAGTTTGATATTCCTGGTGTTTTTTTTTTTTTTTAATATGTGGCTTTTGTCATACTTAAGTAGTTTCCTTCTTTTCCTAGTTTTTTGAGTGCTTTTATCATAGATGTGTATTCAATTGTGTCACATCCTTCTTTTTCATCAGTTGAGATGATCACATAGTCTTCTCCTTCATTCTGTTAACGTATTGTGTTACATTGGCCAATTTTCACCTGTTGAACAATCTTTGCATTCCAGGAATAAATCTCACTTGGTCATGGTGAGTAAGCCTCTTGGTTTTCTTGTTTTTCTCTGGCTTTGGTATTGGAATAGTGAGTTAGGAAGTATTGCCTCTTCTTTTATTATTTGGAAGTATTTGAGAAGGACTGGTGTTAATTCTTCTTTCAATGTTTGGAAGAATTTACCAAAGAAACCATCTGGTTCTGGATTTTCTTTGTGGTACTGGGGATTGAACCCAGGGCCTTGTGCATGCAAGGCAAGCACTCTACCAACTGAGCTATATCCCCAGCCCTTATTTCTTCTTGATTTAGTCCTGGTAAGCTATGTGTTTCTAGGAACTTGTCCGTTTCTCTAAGTTATCCAATTTTTCATAGTACATTCTTAAAATCTTTTACAATGGGTAGTGAAATATCCCTTCTAATTTTTCCAGGTTTTAAAAATATAATGTTTTAAAATGAATTCATGCATTACAGGGAAGAGAAAAACCCAAGAAGCAAAGAACAAAGTCTTCCAGTCACAAGCAACTCAGTGGGACATGTCTTCCTAGTCCTGCATATATAGACCCAACACCCCATTTTGTGTGATAGAGATTGTAGTTTTTATTGTGCTTCTCCACACATCATGAATATTCAGCAATTCAAAATCCCAAAACTATGTGAGTATTCTTGATAACCAAGAATATACTATACCAACTCAGTCTGTTAGAAAAAAAACTATAATTCTGCTTTTCTTTGGACAAGAATCTCGCTGAAAACAGAAATGGCAACAAGGCTGTAGATAGATGTATTGGCAGTGTTACAATTAAAATACTATGTTCTGCTAATGCTCAATTCAAAGCGAGACATAAAGCGATGAGTATACCAAGCATGATTTTCTCAGAGTTCTTTATCTAACTTATACTAAAATATTAGTATGAAGACATTTCTCAGTGAGTTAAAATAGTCCTATGACAGCCAGCAGATGCACACAATGTCAGTGGCTCTTATCCAAATGTAAATCTATGCACACTTGCTCCCATCTCTCCCTGTGTGCTTCCTTTTGCCCCTCCGCAGCAGCCTAATGAACAAGTCCTGATACACACTGCCCAGAAACATAACAATTCCACATCCAAGACGCATCTTTTCTGTTGTTATAATCAAAAAGATATTTACGAGTTGGCTAATTCACTAACTCTACTTTTTTTCTTTTGGGTGCTGGGGATTGAACCCGGGGCATGCAAGACAAGTACTCTACTCCAGAGCTACACCACTAGTCCCCATTAGCTCTACTTTTTACCATACACTGCCACCTCAGGACATCCATAAAGCTTAGATATTGTGAAATAAAGTATGAACTTCATGCCTGATAGACACAAGTACTTTACCAAAAAAATTCACGTAAGCCTAGAGTTATAATCTAAGACCATCTTGTAGATAAGGAGATACTAGGAAAGAGCCCTTCCACTCACCCTCCCTTCTCTCCCTCTTCACCATCAGTGACAAAGTTCAAGACTAATCCCAGCTCCAGGAGGTAGACTAACAAAACCCATTCCCAGAGGATAGTTTTTTCCTAAAAACTACATAGAGGTTATTTTTGCTACTTCTATTGTACTTTGGCCATTAGGATTTATTCTTTAATACCCAGTAATATTAATTAAAATGCACATATAGAACAATGGCTAGACACTCAATAATCAAAGGAGCTTCTCTCTGTATACTTTTCTCTTCCCACCACCAAGTGGACAGTCAGCATGCTCTCCAAGATGTCAACTTTAACAATTCCATTCTGCAGATTCCTGTGAGGGGCAAAAGGGGAATAAGAAAAATAAAGGCTCACGGATTCAGATTTTGAGGATAACAGCTGGGTCAGGTGGAGCTCTGCTCTTTGATGGAGAAGCAGGTCTAAAGAATTACACCAGCAATCTTTATTTATATAGGTCTCATTAATCAGATTAAACACTATGCAAGTATTATTCTTTGTATTTATGAAAATTACAGAGTTAGCAACATTATGCAGCTTATTCTGCAATTACATTCTACAGTTGCAATGTGCAATGTTAGGAGATTTGTGTAGCTCTCAAGAAAGTTCATTGTTTAAAGTTACTGTTATTCGGCAGGTTCAGAAGCAGCTGAGCTGGTGAAACATTGTGGTCCTCTAGCAAGAGAGTGCCTTTATTTCCAGGAGCTGTGTGCCTGAGATCAAGGTCGAGGCTGATAAGACTCTAGCACAGAGTGTCCTTATAGAGGGTATTATCACGGCAGCTAGGCATCCTGCACCTTTGCACAGAAACTATCCCAGGCACCGAGCATGCCACAGCTGTGAAGTCATCAGAAACCCCTGATTTCAGACACTGCTCTCCCATTCTGTGTCACCACTCTCTACACCATTCCCCAAATACAACCATTCTTATGAAGTAACAAGAAATACGCAAATGGCATTACGTTAGCCCTCTACTCTCACCTCGTGTTGCATACTTTTAAACATCTAAAAAGAAACATCTAAAAATCTAAAGCATCTAGATGTTTCCAACAAGGTCATGAAATTTTCTACGCTACATTGAGTAGCACTGAATAAAGCTGCACACACAATACTTAACAATGGCTAAATAAACAACCTGATTAAAAAAATGAGCAAAGGGATTGAATAGATATTCCTCTGAAGAAGATACACACACAGTTGGAATTGGAGTCTATTTGAGGTCCATTTGGGGTCCAAGTGATCCAGTACTTGCCTAGCATATGGGGTTCAATCCCCAGAACCACCACCCAAAAAGAGAAAAGATATACAAGTGACCAGTAAGCATGAAAAGATGCTCAATATCACTAACCATTAAGGAAATGTAAGGCAAAATTGCAATGATATATCACCTCACACCCATTAGGATATAAACTATCAAAATACAAAAACCAAAAACCCAAACAAAGCCTGAGAACAAGTATTGTTGAGGATGTGGAAAAATTCAAACCCTTGTTACTTTTGGTGGGTCACTATGGGTGTGTGTGTGTGTGTGTGTGTGTGTGTTTTGCTGGGGATCAAACCCAGGGCCTTGTGCGTTCAAGGCAAGCACTCTTACCAATTGAGCTAAATCCCCTGCCCTATAGTGGGCCACTATGGAAAGTGGTATGGTGGGTCCACAAAAAATTAAACATCATGGATCCAGTAATTCCACTTCTGGGCATATACTTAAAATAATTAAGAGTTCATTGTACACCAACTTCTTAGCAATATTATCCACAATAACCAAAAGGTGGAAGTAACCCAGTGTCCACTGATGGACATACAGAAATGCCTAGTGATAACAGCCAGAAGGTGGTCAATTACAAGTCAAGGACAGAAAGCTCAGAAGAAAGCAAATCTGCCAACTAATCTTGGACTTCCTGTCTCTAGAACGATGAGAAAGTAGATTTCGGTTGTCTAAGTCACTCATACTATGCTATTTGGTATGGCAGCCTGAGGAGAGTAACGCTCTAGAACAGAGACACACACTGCATAATGACATTTTGGTCAACAACAGACAGTGGTCCCATAAGATCATAATGAAGCCAAAAAATCCCTATCACCTAGTGACATCATAGCCAATGTAACATTGCAGTGCAATACATTTATTCAAGTGTGAGTAGGAATGTTGATGTAAATAAACCCAGTGCTCTGCCAGTCATATGAAAATATTGTACATGCCATTATGTACAGCACACATAGTACTTGTTAGTAAATGATTAGGTTACTGGTTTTTATATTTACTATACTTTTGTTATTATTTTACATCGTACTCTATAAAAATTATTTATTGTGAAACAGTATACTGCATTACACTGGAAGTGGCCCCGTAAATCTTCTATTTCCTGTTTCTTGATCCCATTAAGAGATCATATTGAGTGACTAGCCTATATCATCTAGGCTTGTGTAAATTCACTGTGATGTTTGTACAATAATGGAGTTGACTAATGATGCATTTCTTGGAAGGTGTCTATGTGGTAGAGTGAGGCTTGGCTGTAGTCATAGTCAGATAGTAGCTCGGTTGTGACCAGGGATTGGTGGGGAGAAGGGAATGAGGAGCTGTTTAATGGGTATACAGTTTTCTCAAGATGAAAAGAATTTTGGAGATTGGTTGCTCAACAGTGTAGATACACTTGACACTACTGAACTATACATTTACAAATGGTTGAAATGCCAAAATATCTTTTATCTATATTTTATTACAAATAAAAATAAAACAAGCCAGGCACAGTGGCATATGTCTGTAGTCCCAGATACTAGGAGGCTAAGGCAGGAGGGTTGCTTGAGCCTAGGAGTTCAAGACCACTCTGGGAAACAAGGGAGACCCTGTCTCAATAGATACATGAATGCACACGTACATATTAGAGTTCTCTAGAACTTAATTATAGTATAATTATAAGAAGATTTATCAGGCTGGTTTACATGACCAGAAGCCAGATAGTCCACAATGGCCGCCTGCAGGCTGGAGAGCTGGGAGAACCAGTAGCTGCATGGTCCAAAGGCAGGCTGAAGCCCCAGAACAAGAGAGATCAATGGTGCTACCCTAGCTCAAGACCAGAGGCTTCTGGAGAATCACTGTCAGAGGCTGCTATGGAAAGGATCAGAGCAGCAATCAAGAACCCATTCAAGAATTGAGCTAGCATCTGCTGCAGCTTCCTTGTTCTTCCAAATTTTATTCCATCCAAGCTATCATCCTATTGGACCATGCTGCCCATTCTTAGGGAGGCTGTCCATTTCAGTTGGCTATTGCACATGCCAATCATTCCTAGACACACCCCCATTGACACACCCATAAGCCCCCTAATCATGTGCATCTCTTAATCCAATTAAGTTGACAATTCAAATTAACCATTACACATACATACCTAAAACCAAACAAATACTTATCTAGTTGCCCCATATCCTTCTTATTACTGTTCTATTTTCTGCCCTCCTTCTATAATGAAATTTTTAAAAAGTAGTTTTTATTTGCTGTCTTCAAATCCTTTTCCTTCCTTTCTCTCCTCCCACCCCCATCTCAGGCTGCGGATGGAACCCAAGGCTCATACCTCCTAGACAAGCACTCTACCACTGAACTACATCCTCAGCCCTTCACCTCTCATTTTTTGTTGAACCCATCCCAATCAGAATTTTCTGCAACTCATCTGTTCAATTATAGTGGTTGAACATAGTTCAACTACTGGATAGTAATTCTTCCAATCTACCTGCAGGATTTTTGTTCTTTGGCTCTTCACTGAAACATGTGCCTTTGGCTTCCTAGTTTTCTTTTCCAGCAGAAGTTACTCCTTTGTTGGATCTGCCTGGCCCCAGCTCCTGACCCTATCTGTGGGTCGCCCCCGGGGCTCTGGTCCAGGCCCTCCATCCTTACTTCCTGGCAATCTCCCCCAGTGCTATCTATATATACTAATACCTGTCAGGTCCTATCTCCAGCCCCACACTCTCTTGGAACTTGAGGAAAGGGCATCTACCTGCACACTCAACTTCTCCACGAGGCCTCATAGACATCTGAAACTCACTGCACTCCAAACAAAGCCTTGACTTCCTTTTAGCACCTGTCCCCTCGATTGTTCACTATCTCAGTTAAAAAAAAAAACACACCAGGTCAAAACACAGGCACCCCCATGGCCACACGGCAAAGATCTTGGAGTCCACCTGACTTCTATTTCTGTCTCACTTCACATCCAAGTCATCTGAGTCTCCGGTTGTCTCTTCAAAATCTCTCCCCACCTCCACTCTGCTGTGACTACACCACCTTCCTCTCTCATCTCAATGACTGTCTGGTGGCTTCTCAGCCAAAGAAATGCCTTGAGTGTTAAAACTGAAGAAATAAAAATGTATGCTTTTAAGGACACCATCAGAACTGTAATTGAACATTTTTCTGTGCAGGTTGCAGGTGGGAATAGGTGACCATGTATCAATACATATCATCCAGAGAACTAGCAAGTATCTGTTCACCTTTCACCCAGTATCTAATATACCCCCAGTAACATGATACTGGCCTCATCCAGAAGTTCCACCTCTGCTGACTAACTGAAATCACGGCCATTAGAACTTTAAGAGAGAAATCAGATTTTGAGATATTGATCATGTGACAGTTGTCACAGAATGAATTGGATGTTTTTCCTGGGAGGAGCAAGTGTGGTCCTCGTTTCAAAGAGCATGGGGTCCAACATGTGTGCTTGACCCTTACTCACTCCTCATACTTTGTCCATCTCCAGAGGTCAGAGTTCCTGATCTCTCACCTAAACTTGGGAATATAAATAGCTGGAATTTAATTTTTTTGGGGGGGTTGTCAAAATGGACACATCAAAGTTGTGGCATTAAAATATGTCTGCTGTGGGCTGGGGCTGTAGATCCATGGCACAGCACTTGCCTAGCATGTATGAGGCACTGGATTCAATCCTTAGCACCACATACAAATAAATAAAATACATTCTGTCCATCTACAAGTACAAAATATTAAAAAAATATTTCTCCTGTGAGGATGGCTATATTAAAATGATAGGGGGCAGACAGATGCCAGTGGTGGGCACATGAGGTTAAGGGAATAATTCTATAAATGGCCCCCCTGTGCTGACCAGCACATGCCTTAACTTTTAGAAAAGCAATTTATCTACAGCCCTATCTGGCTTACAGCAAACTACCTGCTATCTTCAGGAGAAATGCAGGTCTCAAAATGCCACTAAGAACACAAGTTACCCTGAAGTAGGGGACTTTTGTGAACTTTACACAGACCAGATCCTGGAAGCCAGGGAGATAAAGATAATTCTCCCAGCCATAAACAGGTTCCAATTAGAACTGGTCAGTATGGGCCAAAGCAACCTAGACTTATCATGGAAATGGAGACTTGAAAGTCTGATATTATCCTGCTGTCAGTCAAAAGACAAGAGGTGGACCAGAAAGGAAGCAAGCAAGCAAGCGAGCAGGGGCTGCAGGCTGCATTTCAAGATGGCTTCTGAGATATATTTTTCAGTACAAACACAGGTGATGTGGACAGATAGAATTTGTGTTTTTTTCCATTACTTCTACTTCTTGCTTCTTGTAGCAATAGCAGCACCAACACAAATAGTCCCAGAATTGCACAGCACCTGTGCCTACAGAACAAGCCTGTCCTCTGCCACATTCAGCACAATCTTCCTCTTCCCAGGACAGGCCCCTTGTCTGCTCAGGTGTCTAAGTGCCTGGTGTCTGGGTATCTCCTGCTGGCAGTAGAGGGAGCCCACACTCTACCGAAAGGAATGGTGTTTCTCATAATACAAAGCAGAAAATACCGTAATTGTTGTTTTCGCCAGGCAGTGTGTCCTTACAGAGGAAGCTTTAATGTCCCTCGTACATCTCTGTGGCTGTAAATTCATGCTCCATTATGGTACCATATGCCCGGATTCGTTCCGAGAGCCATAGCCAGCTTGGCGGGTGAACCTGGACTCCAGCGCTATTTGTGCTGCGTGTCGTTTTGCATGTTGTTACCTCGCACGCTTAAAGGTTATGTCTTAATCAGTGGTTTTCCATGAGTTTATTAGCCGTGGTCCTGCAGTTGATAAAGAGGTTATATCATGGAAAAGTACCACTGAACACAGTGACAGTGATAAGATGCTCAAGGCAGAAGGAGAATTTGGCCCACTTAAAAAAAAAAAAATCTGGAGGCACAAAATACCGTGGAGTGGGGTTGGGTCTGATGGTTGTCTTGCAGCTCTGATTTCCCTTCTTATCTGGTTCTAAGAAATAGATATTGATGCTTCTTTGCTCTCACCACACCTATTTTACATGAAATTGCATGCAGTATGCAGAATGATATTTTTTCATCATCTTTTCTGGCTCCCTGTTGAAGCTCAGTGTGGTATCAGAATATCAGGACCCAGGATTACTGGTGTGGCTGAGTCAAACCACGGTTGTTCCTTATACTATGCTCTTTCTGGGAAAGCAAAAATATTTTCTGAAACCCGTCCACTTCCTCATTTCCTCCCAATCAGCCAAGTTCTGAAACACTTCTAGGAGCAAAGCCCCTCAACTTCTTTACACTGACCTAGGGACAGCTGTCATCTATGCCTGGTGGGAAAGGGGGTCCAACAAGAAACGTTTAAAAAAGAGGGTCTCCTTTAAAATCAGTTATAGAGTTGTTGCAGTGAGCAACTACATCCCAAGTTCTTTTTATTTATTTTTGTCTTAAGACAGGGTCTCGCTCAGTTGCTGAGAGCTGAGGCTGGCCTTGAACTTGTAATCCTCTGTCCCACTCATCCTCCCAAGTTGCTGGGATTACAGGTGCAGTGTCTTTTACTTTGTGTGGCCACTTGCTGGGAGGCCAGGTTCTTTCTCACAGTGAGATCTCCAGGCAGGGGAATGAGGAACAGTAGGATTACCTCACCGTGACTTCCTTCTCATGGCTAGAAAGTGAACAGGCAGAGGGCCATTCTGAGAGCCTCCCAGGTCCCTGACTTGTAAAGCTTCCACTACATAAAATGTCAAGCATAAAAGAAATGCACACTTATCCCACCTCAAATATAATGTGTAACTAAATAATACACGATGACAAAGGGCTAGGACACTAATTGATATATGTTTCATCAAATACCCAGGCTTACCTCAGAGATACTGTGGGTTCAGTTGTGGATCATGGCAATAAAGCAAATAGAGCAATAAAGCCAGTCACACGAATTTTTTAGTTTCCTACTGCATATAAAAGTTATGTTTATGTGATACTATCATCTATTAAGTGTGCAATAGCATTATGTCGGAAAAAAAACAATATATACCTTAATTAAAAATACTTCATTGCTAAAAAATGCTAATGACCATCTGAACTGTTAGAAAAATGGACTTGGCTGATGCAGGGTTGTTGCAGAACTTCAAATTGTAAAAAACGTAGTATCTGTGGAGCATAATAAAATGACATAGGCCTGTGTTAATCTTGACTTCTCGGCTTGGTACTGATACCTTTCTTCCCTCTTCCAGGTTCTGTACACCTCCATGGACCTTTTGGCCTTGGTTTGGGGGAACTTGATGCAAACGATGGCCCTGGATGATTGGGGGCCAGGATGAAGTCTTAGTTCACACCTGCCTGATCCAAAGAGCACCTCTCCTTAGATAAAACTGGGAGGACTCTTGCCAGTTCCTGAGAAAGAGTTGCCTTTTCTCTTTCTACAAAGATATTCACTCATTCAAGAAATGTCGACTCAGTGGCAATCAGAGTGTAGGCACTGAGGAGACAAAGGCAGACACTTCCCCTGTGCCTATCTAAGGAGCAAAATTTTCCTCTGTTCCTCTGTCCCAGAGGTGGCTGCTCTTTGTCTGCCTCTCCAGAGCCTCCTCTGATCTTGGCTCCTAGGCGCTATATTGTTTTTTCACAGCAAGTTCCTATGCTAAAGTCCTAACCCCCCAGTGGACCCTAATCCTCTGTGGCTCATGTCCTTATCAGACCAGGACATGCAGAGAAAAGACCACAAGAAGACATGAGAAGACTGCCATCTTTAAGCCAAAGAGAGAGGCCACCAAGGAAACCAACCCTGGTGACAGCTTAATCTCAGACTCCAGAACTGTGAGAAAATCTCTGTTGTTTGAACCCTCCAGTCAATGGCATATTACTGTTGCAGTCTAGAGGACCAAGGACTCATTTGGATCTTTTAGAAATGCTGGATGGATGGCTATGATGCTTATAAGGATGGATGAGTGGGGGCTGGGGGTGGGGTAAGGGAAGAAAGAGGGATCCTCAGTCAGCCCCTCCTCACCTGGTGGGAGGCCTCTGCCCAGTGGCATACTCACTGTCCACTTTCTCAATCTGCTTCCTTTGGGTGTAGACGGATCAGTGGGGTTTGGGATTTTTCTAGGGTGAGGGGTAAGGTTAGGGGCTCCTTTTCCTCTGCCACAGTGAATTCTCTTTAGAGCTTCTCTTTCGTTTTTTCCTGGGGTGGGGGGAAGGGAGCTTCATTCCACTGCATCTGCCCAAAGGATTTCCATTCCTCGTTTTCTTTGCTCCCTGGGCAGGACTCAGCTTCTCTGAAAGTTTCAGTCTTGTACTGGGTCATGCCCTTTGCTACCTCTTGCTATCTCTGTTATAGTTTGAATATGGGTGTCCCTTAAAAGGGCTATTGTGTAGTTTAGTCCCTAGGTGGTGCTATTGGGAGGTGCTGTGGACCTTTTTAGTAGGTGGGGCCTTGTGGGAGGTCCTTACATTATCAGTGCATGCCCTGGAAGAGCATCATGGGACCCCTTTTTCTTTGCTTCCTGGTTAATAAGGTGTTTTTCTCTGCTGCATCAGCTTATCATGATGTGCTACTCTTGCCTGCGGCCCAGTGAATTGGACCATTTGATCATGGAGTGGAACTTCGGAATCATAAGCTAAAATAAACCTTTTCTTTTTACAGATTGCCTCAGGTATTGCATTATTGCAATGGAAAACTGACCAATATACCTCCAAGTGTTTGTTCAGGCCATTCACTCTGCTAGGAGTATCTTCTGCCACTCACCAGCCTCACTGACTGTTCAACCCATTGCAGTCCTGCGAGAGACATGACAATATCCAACAGTGGGCTGGTCAATGTGTAACAAAGCCTCTTAGAACAAGTAAAACAAAAGAAATCCTGATTTGTTGCATTTGTTGACTTCCATGGTATAAATACTCTCATCATGGCCAATTTCTACTGAAGTGAAGCCTCTGAACAGGCAGTTGAATTGGGAAGGGACATTTCTATAGCACATCACTGTATTGTATTCCTGCTATTGAGATACAATAGATGTAAATAAGAGTAAAATACAATAACTAGGACTGATGTTTTGAGTCTTTATTACCTTCATATATCAATATAATTTGCTTAATCGTAAGTGCACAAAATTTAAATTTTTATAATGGTTATGTTTAAAAAAACAGCTTGAGCATTTTCAAAACATGTAAAAATTGACTTGTAAGCTAGTGGAAACTGGCTTCAGCATATAGACAGGGTAAAAATTCTCTGCCTGGAATGGGATGGGATGTGGATACGGCGAATGTGGTAGAAGTGGTGAGCAAATGACCCTATTCTGGGAGACCGTGTGGGTTGTGAATAAACACACCAACCATCTGGAAGCTTCCAGTGGGAATGTGTGAGCAAACAGTTGCAAACAGGCCATGAAACACTTCTGGTTTGTTCCAAAGCCCCATAGCTGCACCTAAATCCTAGACAACCCTCAGCATTGTCTCCATGCCCCAGTGCAGCACTTTACCAAGTGGTTTTAGGTGGACTCTTTAGGTGCACAGCACCATCGGTAGCCACAGACCTGGGCTGTGGTCTTTGCCATCCTGAAGAGCCCAAGTGACTTTCTTGGTCCAAGGAGAATATGGGGCACTGTGACTAGATCTGGTTTTAGACAATGCTACTTTGTGCTGGAGGGTCTACTCCTTTCCTGAGTGACGTTAGCAAGTAACTTCTAGGGCTCAGCTGTCTTCCCTGAAGTTCACTCAGGTCTGTTTCTTCCTGGGATTGTGCCGACATGATATGATACATGAGGAATTTCTCCTCTAGTCCTTTATATAATAGTGCATTACCTACAAGGAATTAGTTATAAAATCACCCCAATTCACCACTAATACAAGATTAATTATTAATGTGAATATTATCTGTGTGATTGAATCATTTCAGAGTGAAAATCCAAAGGTCAACTGGTAATGAAGATGTATCAGACAAAACGGTCCCAGCCAGTACATATTCATAGTGATAGACAATTTCAAGGCACACTTCTGCTGGGTCCAGAAGAATATAAAGGGAATAATAAACAGATTATTCAGAGCAACTGAAGAATCACAAAGTTATAAATGTCCATCTTTCTAGGAAGGCATCATAAACATGTGATCACTCTCTGTAAATGCCTGCTGATTGATTCGCCAATACTTTATTGCTGTTATTGGGATTTGTTTTTAAGATAGGGTTTCTCCATGTTGTCCAGGTTGGCCTGGAACTGGTGATCCTCTTGCCTCAGCCTCCCTAGTACCTGGAATTAGAGGTGTGTGCTATTATGCCCAGCTCCAATTCGCTAATATTAAACTACAAGCTGCCTGGCTTAGGGTACTGAGAACAAGACTAGTGGTAGGATTTTTTTTTTTCCCCACTACGGATTGAACCCAGATGATACATGATACATGAGGAATCCAGTGCTTCACCACTGAGCCACATCCCCAACCCTTCTTTATTTTTCATTTTAAGACAGGGTCTTGTTAAGTTACTTAGGGTCTTTCTAAATTGCTGAGTCTGGCCTTGAATTTGTGATCCTCCACCACCTTAGCCTTCCTAGTAGCTAGGAATACAGGTTTGTAGCTGCCATGCCTGGTAGCACAGGATTTTTTTAAAAAAATATTTTAATACCTTTATTTCACTTATTTATTTTTATGCAGTGCTGAGGATCAAACCCAGGGTCTTGCACATGCAAGGCAAGAGCTCTACCACTGAGCCCCAGCCCCAGCCCACACAGGATTTTAATTCATAAAAATGGGGAAGACCGGCCCATGTGGTGCCACATGCCTATAGTCCCAGCAAGTAAGGCTTGGGAGGCTGAGGCTGGAGGATCATGAGTTTAAAGCCAACCTCAGCAAAAGTGTGGTTGATGAATTCTAAGCAACTCCATGAAACCCTGTCTATAACTAAAAATACAAAATAGGGTGGAGATGTGGCTCAGTGGTTGAGTGCCCTTGAGTTCAATCCCAGGTACAATAGTGAAGACCAGTGTCTCTTTTTGTTCACAAGCATATATATTGATACAAAAGCTTGTGTATATATATATATATACACACACACACTCATATACACATTCTCCTACATGATACAGTTGCTTTATTTTTAAAAATATTTTTTGGTTGCAGATGGACATAATACCTCTATTTTTATGTGGTGCTGAGCATCGAACCCAATGCCTCACATGTGCCAGGCAAGCATTCCACTACTGAACCACAATCCCAGCCCCAGTTGCTTTATTTATGATGAGGGCATAGATAAAACTTGCAAAAAGTGTTCTCATACCAAATTTCTATTTTTCTTACCTGTAAAGTGCAATTGAGATCAATCCCATGTCTTTGTTAAATGTTTTAAGTATTTCTAAATATAGAACTTTCTAACTATATCAAAATAAATGTAAATTGTGGCCAGGTATGGTGGAGTACGCCTGTAATTCCAGAAGCTCAGGAGGCTGAGGCAGGAGGATCTCAATTTCAAAGTCAGCTTCAAGCAACTTACTGAGGACCTAAGCAACTCAGTGAGACCCTGTCTCAAAATAAAACAAAAGGGCTGGGAATGCAGTTCAGTGGTTAAGTGCCCCTGGGTTCAATGCCCAGTACAAAAAATAGTGACACTTGAATATCGTGGATATTGCTATACATTTAAAAAGGCAATACAATTGTAATTATGTGGATTATTATTTAACAAGGCAAAGTGACCTGTATAAGATCATTTAAACGTATGTTTCTTAGGACTCTGCTTATATTATTCTCACAAAAGGTTTAATGAAAGATGGTAGTTGAAAAAAATTTGTATCAAAATAGTTGGAAAATTAGAAACTTCTCTTTAACCTCTGTTGATTTAAAAAAAAAAAATTTAGTTGTCAATGGACCTTTATTTTATTTATATGCAGTGCTGAGAATTGAATCCAGTGTCTCACACATGCTAGGCAAGCGATCTACCTGAGCCACAACCCCAGCCCGAACCTCTGTTGATCTTGACAATCTTGATCTTGAATGTCATCAGGGGGCTAGAGATGTAGCTCAGTGGTGGAGTGCTTGCCTAGCACATGTGAGGCACTGGGTTCGATCTTCAGCACCACATAAAAATAGAGGCATTGTGTCCAGATAGAACTAAAAAGAATGTCATCAGTATGCACATTTTGTTTTTTGATAAAAATCTTGATAGAATTATGTGATATTTGAAAGGAAAAATGAAATGGGCTGACTGGCTATTTTCCAAACACTGTAATTATTCAGTTTCATTAAGTCAGAACACCCAAATATATGATTCTCCCCTTGTGTTATATACTTTAACTTTCCGACTTGGCTTTTCTTTTCTAGCAGTGGCTATCGCTTGCCTCCAAGTGCCCGGATGGTGCCATTCCTGTTCCCCTGCTGTAATAAAGGGCTGGGGACTGGAGTGTGTCAAATACTTAGATCAAAGAGGCTTTCAAAAAGCACAAACCACACATTTCCTTTACTCCCAGCTGATAATTACTGTGGGGTCCTATTAGTCTCAGAGATTATTGCAGCAGATGAACTTCTGGATATTTTCAGAGGATGAGAGATAAACATGTGCTGGCCCCAGGAGCAAGGACCTTAAGTTCCCATGATGTGTTGGCCATGAAACTGGAACTCAAGCATCATTGGTGACTTCTGTCTGCTCTGGGCTTAAAGGAAGTTCAAAATAAACCAACGAACTTTTGTGATTCACAAAGTATTTTTGCAGTGACTGTGGAATTCATTGAGGTCTTTATCAGTTTGTCAATCAATTGTCCCCAATGTTATTATTATTTATCAATCAGATATAACTTTCCTATGTTCTTATATGAATACACAATCAGTGCAACTCCTCATATGTGCAACCACAAGAATGGGATCCTAATTTGAGTAAGTTATACACCATATATGTATAACATGTCAAAATACACTCTATTGTCATGTATATCTAAAAAGAACAAATAAAAAGATAAAAATCAAATTTATAGAGGTGTAATTTACATACTACAAAATGCATACATTTTAAATAGACCGTTGGATGAGTTTTAACAAATGTATGTACCATGAAACCATCACTTCAATTAAAATACAGATAATTTTTATTACTTAAAATATTCCCTTGTGCTCAGTAATATGTGGGGAAATGTTTACCAGCAGGGCCTTGGGGGAAAAGTGTTATATGTTTAATTTTTAATGTACTAATAACTTAGCATAACAAAAATCCTGTCAATTTTACTGATATAAAGCATTTTGTATAGGAGCTGGGGATATAGCTCAGTTTGTAGAGTGCTTGCCTTGCATGTAGAAAGCCCTTGGTTTAATCCCCAGCACCACACACACAAAAAATAAACTGATAAAAAATAAAGCATTTTGTATAGTTTATAAGTAATAAAAAAAGTGGTATTCTTTATTGTAAATTCCATACAGCCAGTTGATTATCACAAATGTTTTCATTGATTTTTGCCACTGTCTTGGATCTATAGCCAACCAATGGCTGCAATTAATAGTAAAATAGTGTAGTTCTGACACAAATGTTGATTGCGATTTTCATTTACTTAAAGGAGTAAGCCAAAAGTGCCACAGGAAATGTTGGAACATCACTTGTCAATGACATTAGCAACTTCTTGCCTGAATCAGATTGACAGTTTTTGAATACCAGAAGAATATTTCCTCAGTTTT